GGAGAACTGCAACAGTCTTCGCTCTCTCCCATCATAGTAGTTCCTGAACATGTTCTGTTTCAGTCTTCTTGGGATCTCATGGAGTTCATTATACTTTTTGGATTATAGAAAGTTGAATTTGAAAATGTGGTTTCTGGAAGCAGGCTTAAATAGGTGGGCCTGGAGAGGGGAGCTGAAGTATGTGCCATTTTGAGTAATCAAAGAGGAAGGCTTGGTAGCATTTTCTGAAGATGGTCAAACTTGACTTCTCATGGTTGGAAACTTCATTGCACAGCATCCTTTTGAACAAAATGACATACAAATAGATTTCCTGTTTTTAGGTACTCACAAGGAATGCTCTTACATTCTCATTGCACTTAACTCATTTCTCTTATCTTTATTCTTTGTCTTCATAGACGATAAATAATGCATTGATGATTTTGGTATATGTAGTGTGGAGACAATTGTCATTATGGTCAGCATCTGCCAAAACAGATTCTTACTCTGTTAAGGATTTTGGAGAAAATGGGGACTCTTCAACACTGAAGACAAATGCAAATAATGCAGTGCTCTCTGTTCAGCTTCTTGTGGCACTAATTATCCAATTCACACCTCTCCCATTTTAGGAAGAGATACAAAAAAAGCGGACACGTCGTGCTGTCAAGTTCCAGAGGGCTATCACTGGTGCATCTTTGGCTGAGATAATGGCCAAGAGAAATCAGAAGCCTGAAGTACGAAAAGCGCAGCGGGAACAAGCCATTAGGTGAGCAGCTGAAGGCAACTGTAGCGATCTCAAGTATTTCCAGTGTAGCAAATATTCTGGTTTCCATTACAGATTTCTAAATTGTGCTTGAGGTCACAGTTTGCAACCTGGCTTGTTAGTGGGAGGGTAGAGTTGGAAAGAAAGACAAAATACTTAAGGTAGTGCTAGCTTGAGGGTTAAAATGATGAAGCAGATAAGACTGTTAACACAAAGTCATGGGAGCTTTAAAAAAAAATGTAGCTGTCCAGTTTTTGGGGATGCTGCTTTAGTATAGATAGAAATTGCCTTTACTGCTATTTGGTCAAAAAATATATTTAAAAAAATGACTGGTTATAATTTAGGATGGGGGAAATGCCACTTGTATTGTAGTACTCCAAACAAGCTGTTGTATTTTTTAGATTCTGAGTGAGCTTTCTCAAGATGCCTTATGCAGCTATAGGCCAGAAGTCAAATGCATCATAATTTCAGGTTTACCTACCTTCAAAGCAGTTCTTGTTTCTTTAGTATCGTTGTAGATAGAGTCCACTTCATTTTGAGATGGAAGGAAAACATTAGGTGGAAGAAGCAAATAGTTATTGTAACTCATTTTTTATTTTTTTTTTATTTTTTAAAAACAGGGCTGCCAAGGAAGCCAAGAAGGCTAAGCAGGCAACCAAGAAAACTGCAACCTCTACTACAAAGGTGATACCTCTTGGGTCAAAAGGGTAGAAATTTATAAAATGTAAAACTGGTAACTTGAAACATGCCCACAAGAAATACTGTTGTGTGGAACACCTGACTGAGAGTTTGTGCATTGCTTGCTTCTTTTGCTGAAACATGAGCTTCGGCAGTCTATGATATGGGAGATATGCTTTTAAATCTTCACTTTTAGAGACTGCAACAATATTAAATTATTGCATTTCCTGATAGCCTCTGATAGCCAGAAGTTTTACATAATTAGCAAGAAAAATTCACACAGGTGACTATCATGTTGATGGTTGCCTGTTCTTTAAGCTGGTTAGCACTGCAGGGCTCTTCCTGTAAACCTCCTCAGCCTGCTTTGCTGAGATTTGTCACTATGCATATGATACCACTACCTGAGTACACTTGCCTCACTTCTAATGAGGACACTTTATGTCCTCAAGGAAGAATTAAAATGGAAACACTACAAGAGATTTTACCAGCTAATTTTACCATTTGTTTTCAATCTCTCTTAACAGGCACCAACGAAGGCAGCACCTAAGCAGAAGATTGTGAAGCCAGTGAAAGTTTCTGCTCCCCGTGTTGGTGGAAAGCGCTAATTTTGGCAAACAAATAGTTGGCTGTGTTTAAATAAACATCTGACTTTCATAACTTGTGCAGTGTTCTGTTCACTATGTGGAATGCTGAAAAAGTTGAATACAACAAGAACTTAACTTGAGGAGAAACAAGCCACTTGCCACTGCTAGAAAACTGTACAAAGCAGATTCTCTCAAGTTTTGAAATAAAGACACTGCAGAACAAAGGATAGCCTAAGGGTTACAGCAGTTTCTCCAAGGAGTAAACTGAGGCACTAAAACTACAGCACAAAGTATAAATGCTTCTCAATGGGAGAGTTCAGTGTCTGATTCCTGTATGTAGTAGCAGTAAGGAAAATTATGGCCTGCTGGCATTTTATCTGGCCTGCAGCTGGTCCCTCAGCCCTGCCCAGCCCAGCTACTGCTTGTGTGCAGCAGGGCTTGGGGCAGCAAGGTGGCCAGACTCTGCTTCCCTGCAGCCCTGGCAGTGTCAGCTCCCAGCTGCTGCCACTACTGTCACCACTGCCACCAGACTTGGCCCTGGTGCCTGGGCACCACAGCCTGTCTGCCCCACACACTGCCACAGGTGCTGGATGGGCAGATGAGATGGAGCGCACAGCAGGAGTTGTATGGGCAGTTGGGGCCAGGATCTTGGTCTGAGGCAGTGTCACAGCCTGCTGCCTGCTCATACCTGCAATAGGTGCTGGTTCTGCGGGCTAG